TTTTACTATAAATATATGCAGCAACTGTTTTTCAAAACGCCTTAATATGCTTATGACGTAATTCAAAAAAAACCCAATTAAAAATAAAATTGTTTGGAATAACTCTTCGTAAAACGTTTTTTGAAACGAATAACTTTTATTTAGTTTTTTTTTCTTTTGTGCAACTTTCTTTTCAATAAATTTCTTTACCTTTCAGAATATGACCATTTTTAACAATGCTATAGAAAAAATATCAGTAAATTGATTAGTAGTATTTCAATTATATTAATTAAATTAAATTATATATATTAAATTATATATTATATAAAGATTAAATTAAATAGATAAATAAATTGATATACATTTAATACATGTGTATTTTTTTTGTTGAAAAAACTTAGTGACAAAATAGACTAATTAGATAAGTCGTTAAGTAGAATGCTAAGAATATATTTCTGGCGGTTATTGTTGCTAAGGGTGATTAATAGGCAAATAAATTAAAAGCTAATCAGGGTTTTAAATAAACTATAAACTAATCAGGGAAGTTTTATTTGTAAACCGAATAAATAGGAAGATAGCATATAATTCAGGTAGACATTGTTCTCACTTTTTCGCCAAACTTTGATATCTTTGATATTAAAAAATATGACCCAATAATTATAGATGGTAGTGTATTAACCTTTTTTTTCGGAACCACAATCCGTAATGATTTCTATTTTATTAATGTGAACGAAAGCCTATTCAAATATCTAAATATGTAAACTTTAAGTTCTTCAACAATCAGTATAATTATAAAGTAGATGACATCAAATTCTACCGATTTATTTTTACTTAATAATTTAATTGCGACATTATCTCTTTATTATAAAGCATTAAATGTTGTTTTTTAAAGTTTAATAAGTTTTCTGTTTATTAAATAGTGTAAAAAGATGATATAACATTCCACAGCGATTGAAGTGCATCGCTTCGGTTCAAAACCTTTTGCTTACACAATTTTTTTTTAAAATCCTATCCAGTTTTCTAGAAAACAAAGAAAAACAAGTTTAAATGCATATAGATGTTATACGCATTACATGAAAATAAAGATATAATATACTATAACAAACCAAACGGATAGAATTTTTTAAAACGTTTTTAAAAATTTTTAAAAACATAAAAACGCTGTTGGAAATTTGTTGCGCATATATCATGATAGAGATACTTATGTTTTAGGTAATTTGTTAAAACTGCGAGTTCAACACTCATTAAAGAGATAAATTTCTTTCTTATATATATAAAAAAAAGGTTTTACATGCAATCTGAAATTTTTATTAAAACTAACTGGTCAAGAGTCCTAAAAAGTACGGAAAGATATGAAAAAAGAAATTGTAATCTGAAACCTAAAAAAAAAAATTTAGTTACTCCAGAAGGTGACAAACAGAAAACCTTCAAAATTGCGCCTAATCCGCTAATAGAAATGCTCGAATATTAAGATATAAACAAATATTAAATGATTTTTGTATTACGAAACGTACGCCAACTCTTAAACCACTGTAAAACTACTTTGCGGTTATCTAATTAAATCCACCAAATCCGTTAATAAAAACAGCTTAATTAATAGATTCAAAACCATCTGATTTTTGTATTATGATATGTGCGCCAACTGTACTCTAAAACCAATAAAACTCGGCCATGTGGTCTTCATATCGATTATAACAATTGCAAAGCGAGGGACGACAAGTAAGTTGTAACTACAAGTTTAATTATTGTAATCTTCATTTAAAAAATTAAACTTATTTTATAATTACCATGTTAATATGTTTGAAGTTAATATGTTTTTGACCCAAGAATAAACATTAAGATTATTTTTTAGAAATGAGCAGCCAAGATACAGAAGGTATTCTTTTAGTTTTGTATAACATTAATTAATTAAAGAGATAAAAAGAGATGATACGTCAATAATACTGAGATATTTAGCTTATTATTTTATTAAGAAATTACATTGAGATAATTTTGTATATCTTTAGGCGACGAAGAAGTTTCTGCATTTTTTCGAAGTAAGCCATTTATATATACTATATATAGTAGCAGTTACATATGTTCTAAAAGTGGCGGAACTGTACTTGATTTACGGTGTGAATAAAACGATGATTTAATTTAGCCGTTTTTAATTAAAATCAACCAAGATATGCCGCCCTCCCCTAACCCCGTGAATCAAGTACACCCCCCTAAAATTTAACTAAAATTAAAAAATATATAAATTAATTTTTAGAACTTTAAAAGGGTGGACCCAAAATTTGTTTATTCCGCCATTTTGATTGATGTTTTTGTAAAGCAGTGAACCTTAAAAACGCGTATAAGGTTTTTTAAGCTATAATTTTATAAAACGTGTTTAAGCTAAAATTGACTTTTAAGTCTTCTAACTACTAAACTTTTACGTAAAATGAAACTTTTTGTCATTTACTGAATGTGTTAAATTATAAAACTGTGCAACAGTTTTATAATTTAAGACAAATCTTATATGTTTAATTGAAAAAGTAAATATTTTGAAAATTAATTTTGTCTATATATATATTAGATGTTCAAGAGATCAGAGCCGAAGAGGTCTTGCCAAGTAAGCTAATTTTGTATGAGAAGGATACGTTACAAAGATATATATTTCACCAATTTCAGCAATTTGTTAATTATAACTTTTTTTTAATGTTTAGCGGAAATAATGGACAAGCTAAGTGAGGAATTTTGTTTATGCTTTTTTAGTTTTTTTAAAGTTATTTAGCAACTGACTTTTGTCAGTTGTGACAGTTAGTCAGTCAACAAGTGACTTTTGTAACTTTTAAATTTATTTTATTTAGAAAAATTAGAAGATTCTGTTGAGAATCTAAGTAAGCAATTTGTTATTGTTGTTGTCATGCTCTTTATTTTTTTTATTACATATTTATTTAACATAAAGTTATTCTATATTTGGCAAGTTAGTTTATTTTAATGTTTATAAGTTTTTCATTTTATTTAGAAAAATTAGAACATTCAATGGGTAAACAGAATTTGATTATATTACATTTGTGTATTATAGATAAAGATATAGCATTTTACTTTCAAAAAAAAATTGTATTCTATGGTCTTTTAGCTTTTTTGATACAAATTTTAGCATTTTTTTTTATAGGGCTTATATTTGAACAACTTAGTAAGTTACTATATTGTTCTTGTGAATTGTTTCTTTAGTTTATTTTTTATTTTTTTTTGTCGCTTTTTTCTTTTTTGGTTTGTTTTGTTTTGTGATTGTTATTTTTGCCTTTTGTTTTGTTCCAACTTTATTTATAGATTTCCTAAAGTTGACAAATATTCTGCATGTTTAACATGCAGAATATTTGTCAACTTTATTATTTATATTTGTCAAAAACTCATTAACATTAGGAAAGAAACTAACATTGTTTGTTTCTTTCCTAATGTTAATGAGTTTTTTTTTATTCTATTTAGAAAGTTTAGAAAATTCAATTGGTAAGCAAAGTAGACTTATGTTTCTTTTTGTTTATTTTTAACACACAATTTTTTGATGTTTGTGTGCGGTTTTATCACTCTAAAATAAACTGTTTAATTGATTAGTTGATGTAAATATATTTTTTACCTCCACTATAGCGTCATCTGCAGTACCATCAGGTAATGTGTTTTGCATTCTTATGCAGTTTTAAGAGTGTTATGTGTGTTAAAACTTAAAGATAGCATATGTTAATTACAGATTACTTTATTTATTTATTTTTTTGTCTCTACATTAGCACCTCAAGCAATAATATCAGGTAATCTGTTTAGCATACTTATGCAGTTTTATGTGTTTTATGTGTATTTAAACTTAATCATTACTGTTTTCATGCAATTACATAAATGTTTAACATATGTTACTTTATACACTTTTTTTTTTTACCTTTACAATAGCATCAATATCATCTGCAGTACCATCAGGTAATGTGTTTTGCATACTTATGCAGTTTTATGAGTGTTATGTGTATTGAAATTAAACATTACTTTTTTCATGTTTGTTATCAATTACATAAATGTTTAACATATGTTACTTTATACACTTTTTTTTTTTTACTTTCACAGTAGCATCAATATCATCTGCAGTACCATCAGGTAATGATGTAATTTAATGAAAAACTTAAAGATTGCATATCTTATTTTGCACATCACTTTATTTCTTTATTTTTTTGTCTATACATTAACACCTCAAGCAATAATATCAGGTAATCTGTTTAGCATACTTATGCAGTTTTATGAGTTTTATGTGTATTGAAACTTAATTTTTTTTTTTCATGTTTTCATGCAGTTTCATAAATGTTTAACATATGATACTTTATACACTTTTTTTTTTTTTTTACTTTCACAATAGCATCAATATCATCTGCAGTGCCATCAGGTAATGTGTTTTGCATACTTATGCAGTTTTATGGGTTTTATGTGTATTGAAATTAAACATTACTTTTTTCATGTTTGTTATCAATTACATAAATGTTTAACATATGTTACTTTATACACTTTTTTTTTTTTTACTTTCACAATAGCATCAATATTACCTGCTGTACCATCAAGTAATGTGTTTTGCATACTTATGCAGTTTTATGGGTTTTATGTGTATTGAAACTTAAACATTACTTTTTTCATATTTGTTATCAATTACATAAATGTTTAAAATATGTTACTTAATACACTTTTTTTTTTTACCTTCACAATAGCATCAATATCATCTGCAGTGCCATCAGGTAATGTGTTTTGCATACTTATGCAGTTTTATGAGTGTTATGTGTATTAAAACTTAAAGATAGCATATGTTAATTTACAGATTACTTTATTTATTTATTTTTTTGTCTCTACATTAGCACCTCAAGCAATAATATCAGGTAATCTGTTTAGCATACTTATGCAGTTTTATGGGTTTTATGTGTATTGAAACTTAGACATTACTGTTTTCTTGCAATTACATAAATGTTTAACATATGTTACTTTATACACTTTTTTTTTTTTTTACCTTTACAATAGCATCAATATCATCTGCAGTACCATCAGGTAATGTGTTTTGCATACTTAGGCAGTTTTATGAGTGTTATGGGTATTGAAATTAAACATTACTTTTTTCATGTTTGTTATCAATTACATAAATGTTTAACATATGTTACTTTATACACTTTTTTTTTTTTTACTTTCACAGTAGCATTAATATCATCTGCAGTACCATCAGGTAATGATGTAATTTAATGAAAAACTTAAAGATTGCATATCTTATTTTGCACATCACTTTATTTCTTTATTTTTTTGTCTATACATTAACACCTCAAGCAGTAATATCAGGTAATTTGTTTAGCATACTTATGCAGTTTTATGAGTTTTATGTGTATTGAAACTTAAATTTTTTTAAATGTGTTTTGCATGCTTATGCAGTTTTATGAGTGTTATGTGTATTGGAACTTAAACATTACTTTTTTCGTGTTTGTATGCAATTACATAACTGTTTAATATATGTGTTTGTTTATATACTTTTTTATTTATTTCTGCAATAGCAACAGTATCAACTGCAGTACCACCAGGTAATGTGTTTTCCATACTTATGCAGTTTTTCTGTATTTATGCAGTGTTATGTGTATTGAAACTTAAACATTACTTTTTTCGTGTTTGTATGCAATTACATAACTGTTTAATATATGTGTTTATTTATATACTTTTTTATTTATTTCTGCAATAGCAACAGTATCAACTGCAGTACCACCAGGTAATGTGTTTTCCATACTTATGCAGTTTTTCCGTATTTATGCAGTGTTATGTGTATTGAAACCTAAACATTACTTTTTTCATGTTTGTATGCAATTACATAACTGTTTAATATATGTGTTAGTTCATATACTTTTTTATTTATTTCCATAATAGCAACAATATCTGCAGGACCATCAGGTAATCTGTTTTGCATACTTATGCAGTTTTGTGGGTGTTATGTGTATTTGTGTAGGTATATATGAAATTTAAACATTGCATATCTATATTTTTACATTACTTTATTTTTTTTTTTTTTTTGTCATAACTTTTTTTTTTTTGAAGTCTAAATAGTTTTAGATAATATTTTTATTGGTTGTTTTGTGCAGTATTGTATTCAAATTTATTTCTTTTTTTGTTTTTGTTTTTTAGCATCATATCAAGATTTCCTGCAATATCGCTCCCAGCACCCAGGTCCAATATCTTCAAGAGCTTTTTACCGGTGGAGTCAATATGGGGGAGATGATCCCTCCTTTAGATGGAGGAGAGAAGCCCCATATGACACCACTGGTAGAAGGAGGGGTGCTGGAAAGCAGTTTAACTCTTTTAATTTCTACCAGTAGCTTTTTTAAACTACTGGTAGAATTATCTTCTTTTTTATTTATAAAGAAAATTGAATTTTTAAAAAAATGTTTTTTTAATTTCGCAATTTTTTATTATTTTAATTTATATACTTTTACTATTTTATTTTTTTGATTTTTAATTCTGTTTTTAAATCCTAAACTAACAAAGAACTCTTATGTTATAAAAGTTTTTAATAATTTGTCTATAAGTTTTTTTATTAATTTACGTTTTTACATCTTTTTATCCTCATTTTTAATTTTAATAATACTAAATTTTCTTTTGTATTAACTTTTATTTGTTAAGTGTTATATAGTTTTTGAAAGATTGGGTAAATATATTTAAAGTTTTTCTTTTTCTATGATATCTGTTTAATATGTCTAATATATGCACTATACACATATTAATCTCTTTACATTATTCTCTTTAGATATATAATAAAATAGTATTTAAAATCAGTTGTCAGCCACATGTGGTCTATATGATGCAACATGTTTGCAATTGTTGGCATGTCATTTAAAAATATGTAACTAATTTTGCTTTTCAATATTACCATTAATATGACTTTTAAAATAATAAAATTTTTTATTTGTTTCAAAAAATACTGTTTTATTACTTACAATATAGTATGTTATTACAAGATACTTCTGGCTTTTTCTCTGTTTCAAACCAGTTTAGTTATATCTTTTGTTCACAAATTTTATTAGATGCTATACACATAGTTTCATAGGTTTAAACTGATAAATAGCACTTTATTGTTTTTGTTCATTTTAGATTAGTATAGCAAAAAATTATTAAGATAAAGTTTTATCAAACATAAATAATTTCTCAATTATGTCAAGTAACCTAAGAGCTGAAAATAGAAGAAATCGTCGAAATGAAAGAAATGAGGCCAGACGAGAAGAAATTAATCGTTGCCAAAATGAGAGAAATGAGGCCAGACGAGAAGCAATTAATCGTCGCCAAAATGAAAGAAATGAGGCTAGGCGAGAAGAAATTAATCGTCGCCAAAATGAAAGGAATGAGGCTAGACGTGAAGAAGTTAATCGTCGCCAAAATGAAAGGAATGAGGCTAGACGTGAAGAAGTTAATCGTCGCCAAAATGAAAGAAATGAGGCTCGACGAGTATTATTTAGGCGTGAAATGCATTGCATAGCAAGAAATAATGTTTTTATAGAGAGTAATTACCTAGGAGAAATGAACCATAATTGTCAGTATTGTGGTGCTAAAAAATTTTTAAATGAAACACATTTTTTGTGCTGCCATTCGGGAAAGGTTGTCTTACCTCCACTTTCACCTTATCCACCGCTGATGGTTGATTTAATGACAGGCAACCATGTTGATCGTGCTTTGAATCAAAATTTTTTCAAGCATATACGAAATTATAATGCCTGTCTATCTTTTGCTTCATTCATAGCCACAATAGATCCTCCGTCAAATCGTGGTCCATCCTGTTTTAGAATTAGTGGGCAAATTATGCATCGTATTGGTAATCTAAGACATCAGCAAGGGGATCCACCTGCTTATTGTCAATTATATGTTTATGATCCTAATACTGCTTTAAACTTTCGAATGGAGCAAAATGATTGTTGCATACGTGAGTTAATGGAACTTTTGCAGACTATAATTAATCAGGAGAACCCATATGCGCTTGCATTTAAAAACATGGCAGAAGTTGAAGATGCAGAAATTCGTCAAGCTGCTATAGAAGGTCGACCGATTTCTGTTGTCAAAATGTCGTTGCTTGAGGGTTGTGATAGACGTCGATACAATCTTCCATCACATGAAGAGGTTGCCATTGTGTTTGTAGGAAATGATGGTGCTCCACCTCCATCTAGAGAAGTTGTTATTTATCCTCGAGGTCAACCCTTAAAAACAATTTCAAGTATGTCTGCAAATCTAGATCCAATGATATATCCAATATTTTTTCCAAGAGGTGATGCAGGATGGCATGATCAACTAGAGCACAATCCTGACCGAGCAACACGTGTTCGAAATCGTGTTACTTTATCTCAGTACTACAACTATAGGCTTTCTATTAGACAAACGTTCAGTCCTATATTATATGGTAAGAAACTTTTTCAACAGTATGCTGTTGATGCATATGTCAAGATTGAAGGACAGCGCCTTGCTTTTATCAGAAATAACCAAAACAAACTTAGAAGTGAACAATACGATACATTACATGAGTATGTAAATAATGTTGCAAATAACCTTAATGTAAGACCGGGTCGTGTTGTTATACTACCATCCTCATATGTTGGAAGTCCAAGAGCTTTAAAAGAAAATTTTGAAGATGCAATGGCAATTATAAAGAAATATGGTAAACCAGATCTTTTTATTACTTTTACCTGTAATTCAAAATGGAGAGAAATTACAGAAAATTTAAATCCAGGTGAGAGCGCAACTGACAGGCCTGATTTAGTTTGTCGCGTATTTAAGATGAAACTTAAATGCTTCTTAGGTGATATTTTTAAACATGGAGTTTTAGGCAAAGTTGTAAGTCATGTACAGGTTATTGAGTTTCAAAAACGTGGTTTGCCACATGTGCATATTTTATTACACTTTGTAAACGATGATAAGCTAGAAACAGCAGAGGATATTGATAGTTTAATATCAGCTGAAATTCCAGATCAAACTGTTGATCCTGAACTTTTTGAAATTGTAAAAACATGTATGATTCATGGACCATGTGGGATTTTAAATCCCAATTCTCCTTGCATGAAAGATGGAGTTTGCACAAAAAAATTTCCTAAAGAGTTTAATCCTTGCACTGTTGCAATTTTCAATGGTTATCCTAACTACAGGCGTTTAGATAATGGTAGAGTAGTCATTATAAAAGGTAACCAAGTTGATAATCGATGGGTCGTACCCTATAACCCCTGGTTATCAAAAAAATACCAAGCCCACATTAATGTTGAAGCTTGCATGTCTATTAAGTCAGTGAAGTATTTATACAAATATGTCTAAAAGGGGCATGATTGTGCGAATGTGGTAATTAATGAAAGTGTAGACCATGATGAAATTAACACATATTTAGACTGTCGCTTTGTTTCCGCCCCAGAGGCTCTTTGGCGAATATATGAGTATTCCATAAGTGATATGTCACATACTATTATCCGCCTTCAAATCCACCTTCCTGATAATCAGAGAGTATATTTTAACGAAGGAGAAGAACAAGTAGCTATAGATCGTGCAGCACAGCGTGACACTCACCTAACCGCTTGGTTTAAGTTAAATGCTGAAAATAATGAAGCACGTCAGTATTCTTATGTTGAAATTCCATATCACTTTGTTTTTGGTAAAAATTGCATGTGGAAAGTAAGACAAAGAGGTAGTGATAAGGTGGTTGTTCGAATGTATAAAGTCAGTTCATTTTGCGAATTATTTTTTCTCAGGTTGTTACTTTTGCATGTAAAAGGTGCAAAGTCTTTCGAGGATTTGCGTACTGTTCATGGTACTGTTTTTAATACATTTCGTGAAGCATGTTATCATTTAGGTTTATTGCAAGATGACATTGAGTGGAGAAATACATTAATTGAAGCTGCTGCAACTCGGATGCCTAAACAAATTAGGCTACTGTTTTGCATCATATTAACTTTATGTGAACCTGATGATCCTTTACACCTTTGGAATACATTTAAAAATTATATGGTTGAGGATTACATACACCATTCAATGCCAGTCGTACTTGCTGAGCAGGCAGCTCTTCGTCAAATTGAATCTATAATTAATCAGAGTGGTAAAACCTTAGCTGATTATATCAGTCAGATCTTTAGATCAGTTTTTAGATAATGTCCCAGAAAATGATGATGAAGATGTTCAGGTGTTTATTGATGAAGCAAACCGAGTTAGACCATTATTGAATGATAATCAACGTAATGTAGCTGATGCGATCCTTGCTGCACTAAGTGTGGAACCTACTAATGAAAATAAGCATTCAAGGTTGTTTTTTATGGATGGGCCTGCCGGTTGTGGTAAAACATTTACTTACAACTATTTAAATTCTGAAACACAGAGCAGGCATATTAGAACTGCAACAGCTGCATGGACAGGAATAGCTGCAACTCTTCTCAAAAATGGGTGCACAATGCATGGCTTATTCAAACTTCCTGTTCCAATTTTGGAAACTAGCACATGTAATGTAACTCCAAACTCTATTCATGGTAGATTCCTGAGACAAATCAGTTTGTATTTACTTGATGAAGCATCTATGATACCCAAATATGCTTTGAGTGCCATTGATAAGCTATTACAAGATATTTGTAATAACAACTTTCCTTTTGGTGGTAAGGTTATTCTTATGGGTGGAGACTTCAGACAAATACTTCCAGTTGTGAAGCGAGGTCGACCAGCAGAAGTTATAGAATCATGTTTAAAATGTTCTGAACATTGGCAATATGTGCAAAGGTTCTCATTAACTGTAAACATGAGGGTTCAGATAGAAGAAGAGGAATTTTCTCAATGGCTTTTAAAGCTTGGAAGTGGAACATTACCTGTCAAGCCTGAAGATCCTTTGCGAGGGTGTATTGAAATACCTGAGCAGTGCTTTCTCAGTGATAATGAATCTATTGTGGAGAAGATTTTCGGTGGTGCAGAAGAAGCTGATTATGCAAAACGTGCTATTTTAACGCCAACAAATGTTGATTCATTGGCAATAAATGAAGAAGTCCTTCATCGCTTACCCGGTGATGTGAAAACATATTTAAGTTCAGATAGCATTGATACTGATGATCTTAATGAAATTAATAACTTTCCAGTCGAGTTTTTAAATAGTTTGACTCCATCAGGTATGCCTGTTCATTGCCTAAAATTAAAAATTGGTGCTGTTATAATGCTACTTAGAAATTTAGATCTCAAAGGTGGACTTTGTAATGGAACCCGTTTGATGGTGCGTGCATTACACAACAATTATATTGATGGTGAGGTTTTAACAGGTGTAAATTTACCTTTTACACTTAAACGCCGTCAGTTTCCAGTTAGGTTAGCATACTCAATGACCATAAATAAAAGTCAAGGTCAAACATTTGAAAAAGTTGGTGTTTAT